AATTTAATTTTATTTGAAAGAATTCAACTATATTTATACCTTAGTTTTGAAAAAATAATAATAATCACTTAATATTAAGGTCTTTGGTAAGATTCCAAAATACCACAATGTATATCTATACTTTAAAAATCTTCAATCTTCAAAGAATTTTTAAGAATTGTTTTCAAGAATGCAATTAAAAGAATCAAAGCAAGATTTGTAGGCTGATTTTACATTTTTTTTTCATCCTATTGTACAGGAAAATCTAAATTAAATTGTGATCTGTTTGTTTAAAATAATTTTAAGATGCATATTTGATTACTCAAAATAGTTATTATTATTATCTACATAAATTCTTTATATATTCATCATTTATTGAGTTCAAATTCATAGGTATAAAATATGCAATTAATTATGTTTAAATTTAATGTTTTCATATCTCAACTACTTATGTAATTTATAGTAATTTATTTGTAGTCTAAAATTTGATGATGAAGTTTGATAATTTTAAATGTTTCATATATATATTTATGCCTCATTAAAGTTTCATAAATTTTTATGCCATGAAAGAATTCATTTTAAAAATAGGTAACATTAAAATGAAACAGAAAACTCTGAATATAAATTATCAAAAGAAATCAGTAAACCCAAAGTTTTTCAGTTAAATGCAATATCTCCATTTTGACCTAAAGACCAAGTGACACCACAAAATACTCTTTCAGAACAGACTTGAGACATTTTTCAGGGAATGCAAAAGAAATCTTATGTGAATTTTTTACATGCCAACACTAAATGAATGTGAAAAATGAAGTATATGAAAACTAGAAGATAAAAGAGCTTCATATTTAAATGATATTTGTTTAATATTTTTAGATATATTTAAAATAATTTTTGGAACAGTACTGGTTCAATATCCAGATATGACCATCTACGTAGTATGAATTTTACTGAATGATTGATAATAATTTGAAGGTTTTTACTTACGTGGCCCTTTCAAAAATAATACTCAAAATCAGTTCAAGAGACATTAATGTAACAATTTATACGTTTTACCTATTTTAACCTCAAGTATAACGGAATTGAAAAATAAAAAACATCATTTGGTATTGATACTTTCATGAAACACATTCAAAACAATGTTAAAAGACACATATAATGACTTTTCTCAAAATTAAATAAAAATAGAATATTCAATGTACTCATGTATGTTTGTGCATGCAATGTAATTTTTTTTTAGAAAAACTTTGCAATAAAGATTAAAGGTAGAAAAAAAATGTTATATTCACATCCACAACCAAGCATAGTTTTCTGGCTAAACTCTCCATACACTCCTGGTACCATACTGTACCAGGGTTGTGTAACAAGTGAACTCAAAGTAATCACTTGAACTCAACTTACTAAAAAATATAATAATTATATTTTCATCAAATAAGTTCATTATATATTTTAAAACATGATCTCGGGAGAAAACACACAAATATATATATATATATATATATACACAATCAAAATTTTTAAATTGAACCAAGCATTTACTAAATTCACCGACTTATCCTAACCATCATCAAATAATTCTCCACTATTGCATCTACAACCAATGAAAAGAAGAGCTCAAGAATTTATATGCAATTGTATGATGATAGGTGCATCAATTTAGTATATGCATGGGTCAATTTAACCATTTCCTCTCTCTCTCTCTCTCTCTCTCTCTATATATATATATACAACACAATGTTAAATAGACCTATAATTTTTACTAAATTGACCTACCCATGATGAAGAATATTGTAATCATGATGAATGTGGTTGGTTTCATTGGTTTCATATGCAATAGTAAAGATGTGAATCTAGAGATCATGTTATTTTTCATGATGGTTAGGATGGGTGGGTCAATTTAGTAAAAACCTAGGTCTATTTAACACTCTTATTTATATATATATATATATATATATATTACATGTATACGTATATATATATATATTAATTAAATGAAAGAAATAATCCAACAAGCAACAATGAGTGGACTACAGAAACCCAACTAGTAAACTCACGCAATGAACAACGTAATGAATGAATGACTGCAGGCCCTAGAAACGTATCCAACGTGGATCCAGACAGACGGTACAAGTTGGCGTGGCATCCACTTGGCACAGATGACGGCCCTACCCGACCCACGACCGTGGCGAAAGCCCGTACCCCAAGTTGACCCTATGATTGACCTGTATCCTCAGCCAGCACGACCCTGCCCCGCCCGACCCAGCCCTGCCAGCCTCACAGTTATTACGCTCCTATTAAGCCACCAATTGGGGCCGGCGTGGGTACTGCTTGCTGCACCTGCGCTGGTTATGACACGCCATCCATCCACATTCATCGACTAACCCTGTCTCACATCCATCCATGCTCAATCTTCCACGTGGTATTCATTCATCCATCCATATTGGGAAACGATAGCTTTGCTCCGTCAGCATCATCCCCTTGACATTTCCCCTCCATCTGCTGCATTTTCCTTTGGATGAGAGATTCCAGAAGCTTCACTAACTCCCTCACACACTCCCTCACCCTTCTACACTCTAGGCATGAAGGATATTTGGGGGGGGGGGGCACAGATGGATGGATGGCTCTTTCTTCTCATTCTATGCCGGTGGGGGCTTGGGTGTATGGGAACAAAGCCAGGGGAACGTGGAATTTGCATGGTGTATTTTTGGGAACAAGTTTTTGGGGGTTGCAAAATTGCAATATTATCATACATCATCATCATCACCATGGTGACTCCCCCCCCCCCATTTTATGAAGTTGTAGTTGTGGAGCTTGACAAGTTGTATGCATTATTTGATTCCATCTAGTGTATTTATTTTTTATTTTTTTATGGGGTTTTCATTTCCAGCTGTCACCCTGCACATACCTCCTTTTTCCTTGCATATTGATTTCCTGCACAAATATTTTGTAGGTGACCAGCCAGGCACATGAGGCTGAAAAGAATCATAGGATTGGTTGTATATATATGTATGTACAGACAGTGTTGTGTTTGTATCAAGGCATAAAAAAAGATTTTGTTGGTTTTTTTCCTTTCTAAATGTGCAAGGACAAGCTTTTTATATAAAAAAAGTGTGTATTTGCAACATGTCTAACCAAAATTGATTCTTGGCTTCAATTTTAGTTGCTCAATCAACAGAAGATGACAAGTTCAATTATCATTGATTGTGGTTGTTTACTACAGTAGAAGCAATTTTTCATTGGCTGTTTTCAATGTTTTGAGCACAATTCTGCCAGTAGAATCACAGAATTCACTAAAAACCTGCCAAAAAGCTTTCCATTTTAATTAAATAATTTGTTACACAATTCTATCAATTTATCTTCTTTTTATGCTTTGCAGCACAATGATCAGAACTTAATTCACAGTAGAAAACCATAAAAAGTATCTTTATTTTATATTAAAATAACACATACACACACACACACACACCATTGTGTTGTAAAACATGACATAATCTCCATGATTCCCACCTATTAGAATGAATATGTATGTTTGTATTTATCTAAGAGAGAGAGACTGATAAATGTTGTATGCCCTGTGCACTGCTAAAGGAACAGTTTTTCCTCCAAACACATAAATCCATTACCACTACTTCTACTTATTATTATTATTATTATTATTATGGTTATTATAATACCCTATTATCATCCCAGAGGAAGGCATACCCTACTACTTTACCATGGGGAACCATCCAAATTCCACCTAAAAACCCATGCCACATTAAAGGCCCCCACTTAAATAAGCTATCAATTTTCCATCTTCATTGTGCACAGTCTACCACCCCACAAGAGGAGGAAAAAACGATGAAGTACAAACAAAAAAGAACCCCAAAACCACCCACAAATTGGAGGCAGAATGTTAAACCACAAGGGGAATGAATTGCTGGCATGGGCAAGGGCACACGATTACTTCCATCCCTCAATGCATCAATAAAAAGACTATTGAAGGAGCTCAACCTTCAAAAAACACCCATTTATGATCCCCCCCCCTCATGCCCTTCATTCATACCACAAAAACGCGTCGAACGCGTATGGATGAATCATCCACAAAAGGCACCGAGAAAAGATGGATGATGCGGAGGATGGACGAATGAACCGTGGGCAATTCAGCTCGCCGTGAATGGCAAGTATACGCACGAAGCTCCGTCGTCGTCGTCGTCACATTTGCGTGGTAGACTGCGAGACTGCGAGACTGCGAGGAAGGAAACGGCGATGAAGCAACTTTAGGAAATGCCGGAGAGACGTTCAATGGTGGTCGTAGTGCAGGAAGCTAGCCAGCTATACGTCGAGGAGGACCCAGCTCATCGGCAGAGAGAGAGAGAGAGAGTGAAGAGCCGGCCAGGAAACAGCTTTTTGCCGCTGTCATCAGCCGGAAAAGAAAGAAACCAGGGGCTTTAGCTGAGGGGGGCGAGCAACAGATCGTCGCCGTGGCCATTCCTGCTGCTGCTGCTCAGCTGGATGGCTGGCAGGGCAGGGCAGGGCAGAGCCATGGAGAGAGGTAGAGCAGCAGCAGCAGCATTACACTCTCATGACGAGCTTTCACCTCCGGGCTGGCACCAGCTGACTCCGTCTTTTTGCCCACCTCCTTCTTTCTAGCTTGCTTCCCGGCTTGCTTTTTCCTTTTTCTTGGAATTATCCCCCTCCTGCCCCAGTTTCCCACACGCGCATCCAGCTCCCGTTCCTGTCATCGCAGCTGGCGTCCAGCAACGCTTCAGCTAGGGGCATTATATAAGCCACTGCCCTCTCTTAAACTCCTCACGTCATCTCTACATTCCGCCCCTCACCGCCCACATTTAGCACAAACTGACCGCGAGCCTATTATAAGGGGGCTCTCTCTGTAGGGGGAGGGGGGGTTTATTTTTTATTTCTTTTGAACGCTTGCAACGTTCGGCAAGGTCAAGTCTTTCACATCAATCACAAGCTGGATTGTCTTGTGCAACCCGACAAAGGGCAGGTACAGTCACTAGCTGTAGATTGTTTGTCGTCTGTTGAGAGGTCTTAAGTAGACTCCACTCGAGTTTGGGGTTAGTACTAGAGAGACAGAGCTGGGTCCTGCATGTTTGCGTTTGTTGCATCCCAGGCGCGTGGGTCAGAGCCTTTGAGCTTGCTGCGGGGGTCATTCGCAAGTGGTCTGTCAGCTCCTGGGTTATAAAGCTCCTGCGTGTTGATCTCCCAGTTGGAGCTCCTTCCTCTACTTATTAAAATGCGCATGTCAAATCGTTCGTAGCGAGTTTCTCTTTCCTTCTCAGCCTCCCCTTCCCTCTCCCACTGTCTGGTTTGAATTCGTGAGCTCTTCGAGTTCAGTGGTCCCCTTTCGCCCACATTTCTCTCGATCCTATAGCACTTCCAGTGCAGCATTGCTGTCTACATCCAACGGTTTTATAATTTCGTTTTTCAAAAAGTACCAATTCGTTTGCCTACCACAGTTTTGCTTTTTCGCTAGAGTTAAATTTTTAGCTTTGGTTTTTTGTTACTTTCCCCCTGTGCCAATCTGTAATTTTAGTTTCTTCTTCCTCGCACATTCATGGCGCAGTTTGCGAGGGTTTGTGTGCTCGTGTGTGCACTGTTTGCTGTGGCTATGGTGGTGGATTCTCGCCCATTACCCTTGTTCGCCATTACTGATGTCCCCGAGCTTCCTACAACAGCCGAGATGGAATCCATTACCACAGGGAGGAAGCTGTTCAAGCTGGTGAGCAATACCCTGGTGCTGCCCTACCACAACGGCCCTCTGCTGGCTGGTAGCCCTGCGTTGAACGTCTACATTGTCTGGTATGGTACATTCACCCCAGTGCAGAAGGCAATTGTCACGGACTTCCTAGCCTCGTTCCAGCAGCCTGGTGCCGACGTGCACCCTTCTGTCGCGAGCTGGTGGAAATTAACATCAGGTTATAAGGACAACAAGAACAATGCCCCAGCTGCGGCGGTGAAGCTGGCAGGCCAAGTGGACAACAACTACAGCTTAGGGAAGACGCTGAAACAAGCCGACATGGAAACCCTGGTGGTGAACTCTCTTGCCACTCTCCCCGCCGATCCTGCTTCCATCTACTTCGTCCTCACTGCAGCCGACGTTGCAGTTGAAGATTTCTGCATGAACACATGCGCTTCTCACTCTTTCACTCCGGCGACAGCTTCCTCTAAGAACTTCATGCTCCCTTACTCCTGGGTTGGAAATTCGGGCGATCAATGCCCTGGGCAATGCGCTTGGCCTTATGCTCTACCCCAGTATGGTCCTCAAGGAGCCAAGGCCTTGGTGGCTCCCAACGCTGACGCTGGAATGGACGGCATGGTGATCAACATAGCGAGCATGCTGGCCGGGACTGTGACCAATCCTTTCAACAACGGATACTACCAGGGTGATGCCTCAGCTCCTTTGGAAGCTGCAACTGCGTGCACTGGTATCTATGGTGCTGGGGCTTACCCTGGCAACCCGGGGCAGCTGATAGTCGACCCCATTACGAGCGCCAGCTACAATGCGCAAGGAGTCGACAGCAGAAAATACTTGCTCCCTGCGTTGTGGGATCCCGCCACTCTCACATGCATGCCTGTCTCATGAGCTAGTGTTGCTTTACGCATTGCTACAATCAGACGAAAAACGTTCCTCCGAGGTAGCGAGGAGGATATGGACACACCACTGATGAGCCAACTACCGAAGGAGTTGGTGTCTCTTCGTTTGTACACTTCCTGGGAGAGATGACACCTCCATGGTGAGGTCGATTTCTCACAAGCTGGAAGGACAGATTTTTGTGGAGCTTCAATCTTTGGATATTGTGGACTTCATGGCAGAAGGTTGGCATCGACAGATTTGTCTAGTTTTTGTGTGGAAAGAGTGGAGGTTGAGGATTTGTGGTTACAGATGATGCATTCTGTACATAAGAGTGGGTGTTTTGGTGTAATTACTGATAGGCTCAAGGGCATAGCCCATTGTAGTTGGGTTTGTGACCAACACCAATTTTGGAGCTTCACATGGGGAGAGTTGAGTATTTAATAATCATGGCACATTGTACACTACTTACAGCATCAGCTCCCAATTTCTGCATTTCACTTTCTTCCGTTGTGTTTATTCTTTTCATTTGTTTGTTTTTTTGTTCTTCTGCTTTGCTTTGCTTTGCTTATAGATTGTGATGTACTACAGTTACGCTTCTAGTCTTGGTAGAGCAGATATTACTGCTCTATTGTGCACATGTGGTTGAATCTCGATCTTCATTGTAGCTGCTGTTGGTGTTGTATCTGGTGTTGTATCATAGTAAGTAGACACAAGGATTTTACACAAGATGTGCCTCAGTTGCTGCTTTTATCCAATTAAAGCTGCTTTCGTGTAACCTCTTCTACTGTTCTTTCAGCACAGTTCAATTCGTCCGTGGAGTACATTTACGCATCTGCACGTATCTTAACGACTCTATGGTACAGTTTCTACTAGCTGGCTACTGCAGTGAGAGTAACCTAAATTAGCTCTTGCAACCCACTGTAACAAAAGAATCAGAAATCTCTGCTATGTGGTCTGTGGAGTCGTATTAGTACTTACAGAAAGTACTCCCTTGCAATAGCCAGGGTTGATCATGTCATAGCAGGCAAACTCAACCAGCCTTGGCTTCAATCACCCACAATTTCAGATTCTCAAGTCTTGAGTTATCCCATCTCTATTTTAAAACACATTAAGGGATTATAAATCAACCGGATAAACTAAAGAAACACATCAAGGGTTATAAATCAATGGAATAAACCAAAGAGACAAATTGGTCTTTTAATTGGCTAGATTTCTCAATCATTGTTGAAAACAACAATGATTTATGATCAAAACTTTTGCTTCATTATTTTCATCAAAACTTAACTTGCCAATTCATAGGGTCTTAACAAAACAAATCATAGATTAAGGTGAAGATCTTTTAGAGCTTGAACTAGAGCAAATCTAATTCTAATCAATATTCATTATTATGTTGAATCCATGCCATTGTAACATATGTAGATATTCATCGATGCAAGTAAAAATGCACCATAAGTAAAAAGAGCCAATACTAAAGCATATGATTGTTTCAATGAGATGAGGTGGTTGTAGAAGTATAAAATGGTTGTGCATTTTTTGTTATGGGGTTTGTATGATGTGTTTGATGCTAATGTTTGGGAATATGGTAGTAGGTATGTGATTTGTTGTTCTCACTCACACAATTTGACTCCAAAAGACAATTACACTACATTTATTTCAGCAGTGGTAGAGACAAAGAACCTTGAGATTAAGCTTTAGTTAGGCTTGCATTGCTTGGACAAATTGACAAGATAATTATTAACATGTATGACATGTACAAGCCAATAAACAATCTGCTCATCTCAATGAAACAATCATATGCTTTTATAATATTTCAAAAATAATAATTTGGGATCACTTGTTGAAAACTTGCATGTGTACGTGGATGGATGTGTATTGAAGGTTGTCATATGTGTGCAAAAGAGTTGGGTCAATTGTTGGTTTGATGTCATTTTGAAAACCGGAGAGATAAGTTGTAAGGTGTGATTGAGCGGCTTGATAGGGGGTATTGTCTATGTTGATCTAGAGTTTGCAGATTCAAATTTTCAATTGAAAGAAAGTTGTGATTTTTGATGTATTGACATAATTTATTGCCTTTTACTTCTCCTTTGAATTCTAAAATTTATTATAGTTTTAGGTTTGATTTTGTTCCAAGATGCCACATGATAGTATGTTATTTTAATTTTTAATTTTAAGAGCAATTACGTATAATTGTTAGATATTGAATGTAAGAAGCAATACTTACAAAAGAGAAAACATTAACTTCTAAAAGTACTTTGTATTACTACAAATTATCTGAAGCATAATCAAAACAAACATACAATTGAATTATATCAATTGCACTTATAAATTTATTGTAGTTTTCACATACCAATATTTGCATATTAATAAATAAATAAATAAATAAATATATATATATATATATATATATATTTAAAATCTTAGCAACAATAATAACCTATGCAGCATAAACTACCCTCTCTACTTTGATAATTCCTAGACGTACAACTAGATTAAGTCTCAACCTAGATTAAGACTCAAGAAAGAAGATGGAAAAATTGTAGAGGGCAAATAACTTTTGAGTGCATTCTAATTTTCTTTTCAAGCACACAATTTTCTATCTGAATCAAGGCGGTTTGTAATTAGGAGGTCGCACAGAGATGCATGGTTGACAAGGAAGAAGATTGTCATTAACACCTATGGGAGGTGAAGAGCGCACAAAAGGGGCACATTTTCAAGGAAAGATCTGACAAAGGTGGTCAAGACCAAAGAGTACTTTGTGCAGCAAGCCACCAAGAACATCGTGGAGGCAAGAGTTTTGTTATTCAATGTAGATATATGTGAAGTTTTATTTATTATTTATTATTATTTTGACTACAATTTGGTACCTCAATTAGCTATTTTAAGGATTTTCATGTGAAGGGCAAGAATTAGAGACCAACAAGGAGGATAATGTTGAGACGGGTGGTTTGAAGAGATTTTGAAGAGATTTGTAACTTGCACATTTGAATTATAAAACAACATATTTTCCATAACAACCGCACTGGTTCAACTGGTCTAAAAGCATGACAGATTACCTTTGATATATCACTCGTTATCATTAGTAAGTTTTAAATTCTAATCCAGTAGTCCGAAGCTCCCAATTATCCCTTCGATGAACTGAAATGTGAATACTGCGGTGCGGTGTAAAGATGTGCAGAACTCGCGAAAACCCAACCCTGGACTCTGAAGCCTGCAACGGATAGGCGTCGAATTGGCAGTAACAAGAAAAAAAATTCTTGTGCTAGCGCCACTAACTTCTTCACATCGACCAACATGGACACACCTTGGACATGTGCAAGCGTTCTACCCGCCAATCCATGTAGCATTCATATTTACGAAGACAGATAAATGGGCATAAATTAAGAAATCCATTGAATTCCAGACTTACCAGATGAAAATGCAATCAGAATGAATCCCTGTCATTCATGTCCAGACGGCGGCGCTGAGCAATTTTAAACGAATTTAATCCATCTCCCTTCCCGCCAGACGAAAGTTTCCTATATATATATATATATATATATATTTATTTGTTGTCTTTAGAGTGGGTCAGACAATCGATTGATCTTGTTCACTATACGTGGTTCGATCGTCCAGCTAACTCCGATGCATCCCTGTATTTGTAGCGACAAGCAACAAAGCATTACGACTATGAACCAGTGGGTTATGGCCGAGGATTAACGATCTAAGCTACAGCATCCTGATCACGTGAGTGTGTGCACCGAGCTTCGGACTTAGTTCGAAAGCAATAGCCTCTCTTCTATTTCTACTTTCCAGAATATTCGGCAACATAAGGTGTGATCATAAACCCAAATTTTCGATACCCCAACGCCATCAAAGCAGACTTAAGACAATTTGGCTGTCCTTGGAACAGTTGCACGGCGAGTTTGAAGCTTGGAAGTAGCCAACTGCGGGCATAAGCAACGAGCTCCTCTCAGGTTTGAGGTTAACCTGACCAAGATTGGCATCGAAAGCGGCGTGTCTAGGTTGCTGATTTTATGCTCGTAAACTTGCAATATAAATATAAATAAATAAATAAATAAATAAATAAATAAATATTTTCTGTTGCGTCGGTGATGCGATGAATACGCAGTTTATTTGTCCGGGTGGGTACAGAGGAAATCCCCCGTAGTGGGTGTTTTATTCCATTGCAGTCCTATCCAAGTTCGATGCTGAATTCGATGCTACTACCCATAAATTTTAATTCTTCCAATACAGATTTATGCACGTTTGCGTGTCGAAGGTGAGGATTCTCAGGGTCTGTGATGCAAGATATTTCTTCGTAGTGTATCATTGGCTGAGCTAGCGTTATCTCTTGTCATCGTCGGTTAGTACCCAATTCGGTCAGTGATCGCCTCGCAATTATTTTTGTACGGTGGGCTTTGACCAGTTACATACCTTCGATTTCATGACTCTTGAATGGACTCGCGGAGATCGCCGCGATAACATTGTAGACGTATGACAGTCTCTGGGTTTAGCCACTGAGTTGTTTCGAATCTTGTTTTACAATACGACACAGTATGCGAATCTCGCATCACAATGATGCGAACTTCTTCAAAGTTCCTGCCACCGATGACTCGACAGGCTGGTCTACTTTGTTGTGCTGCAATTCAAGTTGCGATTTACTACATCCTCAGCAACCCTCGCATCAAAGATGAGTACGCGACGGTAAACTCGTCGTTGTACTCTATCACTGCCCAACTTCGAACTTCTCATTGTAAAATGCTCACTGTTAATCGTGGACCAATACGCGTTGGATTTATCCGAGGTCTCCCTCCGCTCGACAAATGCAGGATAAACCGTTTCTCAGAAAAGAAAACATGCCTAAAATCAAACTTTCTTAAAATTTCCTACGTATATTACGGCTTTCTCCACCATGCATTGGGCTGATGAAGAGCCGCTGTATGATGTTCGCATTCCTAACCCGAGCTTCTGACTATCTAGTCTTATCGCTGCTCCCTCACCGGTATCTTGGGTATGTCTGGCAGCTCCGGTGATTTGAGGAAGGCAGTCCAGCAATCACATCCCAGGAGCTTTGTGGCAGCCGCGTACCTAGCGATCACTTCCTTGTTATCCTCACTTTCTAGAGCAGGCATCCCACCTTCGACTTTGATCCATTCCGAGGTCTCACTCCCCAACCACTTCACGCACCAACATCTTCCACAGATCAGGACACTCATGATGACAAACCTCCAACACTTCCAACATTCAGATCCGACTGGGTCTCGAACCTGACAATTTGCTCCAGAACACTCATCGACATCATCCTTGAGGTCCATCATCCACAACACCCTCGTCAGATTTCGGGGTGAAATTCGCTCAGTATCAAGCAGTCCACTACATGATAATAGCTCCTCCACAATTCCGAAGGTTCATGGACCACTGAACAGGGACAGAATCGTCAAAGATCGACATGCACTGTTGTTCAGATTCATGTGTCGGTGCTCTTCGGTATTGTCGGTGGTCTGCATTGTATG